TAAAATACATAAAAATAACATGTAAAGCGTTTTCAAATGAAAATTTAAAAATAAAAGCAAACATATAAAGCATTTTCAAGCATGTAAAATCTCTTTTTTTCCTTAATTGCATTGCTTCAAGTAGCTAATGTGATGTAAAACATATTGCATTCTTGATTCTATGAGTCACCTTTGTACTACGCCCCTCGAGGCAAGCCCGAACAAGTCTATGTTAAGGTCTGAAATTCTTATTTCTCACATAAAAAATAACCGAAGCTCCGAGAACCCCCTATTTTCTAATGTTGTTCATTCATTAATTGCAATAAAATATCTTCTTAAAAGGCAATTAAAGTTATAAAATCATTATTTTTTATGTGAAAAATAAGAATTTCAGACCCTAACATAGACTTGTTCGGGCTTGCCTTGAGAGCGTGGTCGGGGGTCTGGGGGCGGAGCCCCTGACCCAGCCGTTAGACTCAAAAAAAAAGGCAAAAAGAGCAAAATTTTAAAAAGGTGCACGGTTGGGCTGAGGCGCAAGGCGCATCAGGCGCACGCCTAGGTGCACCAGGCGTGCACCTTTTGAAAGGGGTGCGCCTAGGACCTGGGCAAGGCGCATACCCCAAAATGCACCTTGCCTGTGCCTCAAGCGTGCCTTTTAAATCACTGCTCAAAGGTTGCATTTTTTTCTTCCCACAAGCTCCAAACACTGCAGCTTTAGAACAATTCCACATGATTTTCCCCTTCTGGTGTGTATTTTAGGGATTTTTTGATCAGCAGAAAGTAATTTATTTTATTAGAATTAATTAACAAAGTATGTATTTTAGGGAATTGCAACTTAAAAAATGGCCAATAATATTAGTGGATGGGGACCAAACAGTACCAACCAGAAGGAAAACGTGGTTCCATATTTTTAAAGTATGTATTTTTAAAGGTATGGAACCACTTTTTCCTTCTGGTTGGAGATGCATAAGAGCAAGAGGTGAAAAGATTATTGGCAATTCTCCCAGTCTGTAAGCAAAGATGGACATGAAGGGAAAGGCACCAGGTGTTCCTTCTATTTTGGAACGTATAACAAGTTATAACATTCTGTATCGTGGCCTCCCAATAAAAGGCCTTAACCTTAGACAGAAAGAAATTGAGATGATGTACAGAAAGAAATACAAAGACAGAAAGGCCACTCAGGGCTATAGAACATCCATATGAGCACCAGATTTGGCTAGACCATCTGCAACAGAATTTAAATCCCTCGGAATCCTTAACAGATTTACATTCATATCTCTAGCCTAAGCCAAGTAGTGATCAAGTCTCTTAGGTCTACTCTCCTTCTCACAAGCTATTTAATATTATTTGCAGAGTCTCCTGCAATGGATAGTCTGAATGCCCAAGTCTCTAGCAATACGGATGCCAGTAAGAGCAGCCAGGACCTCTACCTTGGGTCAATCCAATTCCAGCTAATCCTGGATTTCCTGTCTTTGGTCACCCTTATTTTCATTATTTAAGCTTTTGAATTAAGTGTTCTAATATCTATAATAATTATTTTTAAGAAACTGGGTTTAGTAATATGTTCAGTACAATAGGGCTTCAATTAGTAGCATTAATCATTGTACTCCTTGTAAGAAACACCTTCTTGTACCCCTTTGGGTCAGAAAATTAGATTTTGGGAAGATGTTTAGGTTAGGGAATCCCCTTTGTTTGAGGCCTTTCCTTCTCTTTTTGCCCTATCCAATCGCAAGGGAAAACCTATGTCTGATTTTATTTGCTCGTATTCCTCCAGTCCCAGTCAAAACTGAAATGGAACTTGGGTTTCTCTAGGAACCTTAGAGAGTCTGAAATTCCCATTGTAACTTCTTTGCTATGTCTGCTAAATTCAGTGGTCTTGGGGGAAGGTGGGTCAGACTTTAGAGTGTGGGCTCTTAATCATGCAGGTCTGTTCTCCTGTAAGTCATTTTTTTTGTTCCCTTGTAGTCACTTCCCCCTCTCCTTCTTTCCCTGTTAAGGAAATATGGTTTTGGCCCATCTCTCCAAAAGACAGTGCTTTCTGTTGGGAAGTATTTCATGGTTCCATTAATACTTGTGATTTGCTTCAGAGGAAAAGACCAAATTGGTGCTTGTCTCCTAGCTAGTGTTTTTTATGTAAGTTGAACGGTGAAACTGCTTTACATCTCATAATCTCTTGTCCCTTTGTTGGCTTTATTTCGGAGTAGTTCTCCTCACTTTTTGGTTGCAGATGGTCTCATCTTGATAGCTTGGAAGGGTTGTTTAGTTCATCTGCTTTCAGTTGTTTAGTTCTCCTCACTTTGTTGGCTTTATTTTGGAGTGGTTCTCCTCACTTTAAGGGTGGCATTGGGCTAAAACTTTGAACTTTGAAGCTCTTTATAGACTTTAAGTTTGAAGGTTTCTTCAGTTCGTGGGGAACAATTGTTGATTCATCCTCTAGAAGACAAAAAGTTTATATGGATTGGTCTCCCTCAAGTGTTGGGTGGAAGAATTTGTATTTTGATGGTAGTTGTGTGGGCAATCTAGGCCCTTCGGGTATTGGAGGGGTAATTAGGGATGGGGGAGGAAACATAATGGTTTTGTATTCAGGCTCATTCAGCAAGGTGATGTGGTCAGATCAGAACTATTGGCAGCAGTCTATGGGGTAGAGAAAGCTAAAGAACTGGGGATTGAAAGGTTGGTCATTGAAGGTGACTCGCAAACAGTTGTGGGCTGTCTGAAAAGGGGGAAGGGGTAACTTGGCAATTAAGAAATGAGTTCAGGCACTTCAAATGGATATCCAAAGATGATCCAAATAAATTGGGTTAGGAGATTTGCAAAAAGTATGGCTGGTGGTTTAGCTAAGCAAGTAGACAAACTATGTTTTGGGCTTATTTGTAATACATGGGATGGTTTAACTCCCTTAGGCTTGTTGTAGAATCTTATTGTAACCAGTAATGATATACAAGATTTAGAAGCAACCCTTGGGGAATGAGGCATATCTCCTCCCTAGTTTAATTTCTTTTTACAAGTGAGCCCAAAACAATTGATCCCTAACTGCCCCTTGCTTGGCTGGTGCATCAGCTATAACATTAGCCAACCGTTGCACCCATTTGATTTTCACTTTACAGTGCCTAGTCAGGTATTTAATCTTCTTGAGTACATCCCTATAGGACCAAAAAGCTTTCTTGCCATTCAGGAGCCAGCCAATTACTACCTGTGAATCCCCTTTTACGAGTAGCTTGCTCAAATTCATTTCAGTAGCATACTGTATTCCTTGTTAGGGAGCCACCAATTCTAATGGGCCCGAGAACAGAGCCATTACTTGTCCCTTCTCATCTCTAAATACTCTCCCCACTCCTGATCGTCTGGATTTCCTAGGCTGCATCTGTCAAAGTTAAAACACATATTATCTTTTTCTTTTCTTTCCTTTTTCTTTATAATCATTCCTCTCCTTCATTTCACCTTTTTGGCAATTAAAACACTGAAACACACACACACACACACACACTCACACTTGTATCTCTATTTCATTCAACATAACAAGGGCTACACCCTTTTTTTTTCTTTTTTTTTTTCCACTCTGATTTATGTATGCACATTCTTTTTGTATCTCGCTCTCTCATTAGTGTAGAGAAAAATGGGCTCCATACTCTTGTTTTTGTTTGTAAACTATATACTGTTGTTCTCTTTCTACTTTAAATGATTGATTCTTTCACATTAGATCATTTTTAACAGTTGATTACTTCAACTAGGGAAAAGCTAATTCATTAAATAAAGTAAGGAAATGAGCTAATGTTAACCATTTTGTTTATAAATATCATTCTTGGTGACTAGGCGCTCCTTTGTTGCCCCTCTTTGAGCATTTAGTTCTTCCCTGACAAACGATTGGTGGAAAGATATTGTGGAACTGTCTGAGGCAGTTCTTTGAACAGATTGGGCATAGGGCCTTGGTATCTTTGGCACCTTATTAGAGAGGCTAAATCCTTGAATGTATGGAAAGATCTTATCTCAGTGGAGACAAATATACAATTATCAGCCAAACATCTTATTTCGGTTGATACGATTATCAGCCAAACATCTTATTTCAGTTGATACGATTATCAGCCAATTTGTTTGTTTGGAGAGTATGGAGAGGGGAGATAAGGTTGGGGCTTGGCTATTCCTGTATATGTTTCAAGTGTATTTTGTGGGCTGTGAGGTCAGCCCAAGAACTCTCTTTTTATCTTAGTATTGATCTGTGAATTGATCTTTGTTGAGCCTTCTTTGTTTCTGTCCTGTATTCTGTTGTTTTTCTGATTTATAGAAGTCTTGATCTAGTTAATGATAAACGTCCAGCTTTGATTCTTCACTTCTCAACTATAGAACACATATACATAATCGAAACATAATTAATAAAGCAAACAATGTGATGCACAAAAGAGGCATCCATGAATTACGTAAATGCCATATATATATATATATATAGTTTTTCTTTCTGTTATATTAGAACTCAGAAATAGGAGTAATGTAGTAGAGAATGTGCAAAGATATAAAAGATGGCTAAACCTTACACTTACTGTGAAGAAAGAGCTGGTCTGTTGCATCTTGCCCCCAAGATACAATTAAGCCTCAAAAGAAAACAGAAAGCCTTGGGTGAGGTTCTTTATCTGTCATGGGAAAATAATTATATTTCATTTGTCATTAAGGGATATGAACTGCCTTTCTAATTTGAATCAGGGAACAGCATTCTTTTAGATGTATATGTATGGAAGAGTGGGTGGCCAGGTGGATGGATAGATGGAGCAACTTTTAATTTGTTATGACTTATGAGCCCAAACAATAGATTTATTAAGTTCTTGCCAATAACCATGGTTTCTGAATAGAAACATTAAACTGAAAGCCCCTACAAAATGAGCACCTAGTATGCAAGGGCCTCCCTTTCCACAGCACAATGATGAGCACCTATTAAGTTCTTGCCAATAACCATTCCAGAGTTTTGTTTTCTTGATTTTCAGTGAATTGAAGCTATCTTAAAATTTTATCTGCAATCTTAATTTTTGCAGCTTGCAAATATCATGGGCCGTTTCCGGTGGCTGACATGCCCAAGAAAGGTAAGCTTTCTGAAAGATAAATTTAAAGAAATATTTATATTTATTTTTGAATCATGCTCATCATCTTGCTCCTATTGTACTTCTATAGGATTTATCAACTGGCTGGCTTTCCTGTGATCCTGGTCCATTATTTAAGCCAGAGTATCATTCTTTACCAGAATGGCTTCCTCAATGGGTAATAAGAGAATTCTTCATTGCACCTAACTTATTTGTTGATGAAAGTTCTGTGATCTCCTAAGTTTGTATTGCCTGCTTTCAAACAGTTTGCATTTTATGAGCAGACTGAAATAATAAATAGTGCTCTATAACCAAAAATAGCATTAGTTGTGAAGCATTTTGTTCAGATACTGCTTAACTCAGGGTTTTCTTTGAGGGCAAACCAACCTCCTCAGAGAAGAAAACGGATAAGGAAAGGTAGAGGGGGAAGAAGAAACCTGATCAGCTAAATTGCCCTTATTCAGTCCTACCCAGTTATTTATACTTTGGTACAAACAAAGAAAGACCAGATCTAACTAGTTGGTTGATGTGGCCTCTTAGTGTAAACAAAACAGATGGGGGCCTTATAAGGCTTAATGCTCGGCTGTTGTGCGCTGCCCTGTTCTGGGCTTGGGCTGGTATTGCAAGCAATAGTCTTGGCTGGGCCTGGAGATGGTTGCATAGTAGCCGGGTTCTCATCACATTTCTTCTCCTGTGTAGTATAAATGAAAGTAGACTCCAATTTGATCAGTGTGGTAATCACATTGAAGCTAATTCTCTGAATTGTTTCCAAGAACATGCATTCTTGTTTAATGTTATTGCAGGTTTCGAAAACTTGTGATTGCATTCCATAAGGTCACAAAATTTTTCCCTTGATGTTTTTAGTGGTGTATTTGGTTTTCTGCTCTTCCTGGCTTTTTCATATTTTCTGATTCTTTTTTTCRCGAGCCATTATCAAAAATTATCAATACCAAATTATAACATGCAAATTTTCTATTGCTTTCTTGCAGTTCCCTTGGAAAGAGATCTCTGTCTTGCCAGTGCAATGGCATGCTCTCTGTCTTGGTCTATTTGCCTCAATTATAGCTCCTTTTGGAGGCTTTTTCGCAAGTGGCTTCAAGAGAGCTTTTAAGATTAAGGTTCCGACTTGTTAATTAGTTAAGCTAATTATAGAAAGAAAGTACATGATGAGATTTATAACCATGACCTCTATAATTCTTTTTTTTTTGTGGGTAAACAATTACAGGATTTTGGTGATAGCATTCCAGGACATGGTGGAATTACTGATAGAATGGATTGCCAGGTGAGCAGCTAAAAATTCACTATCTATACTCTTGTAGGTGTATTCACAACAATTCATGATATTTTTATTGGTATATGCAACTTTATCTATGGCGAGGCTGTAGCCCCTGGGTACATCATCATCTTGCTATTCATTTTTTGCTTTTATTAATACAATCATACTTTACCCTCTCTCTTTCTCAAAAAAAAAAAAAATTAAGATGAGACTGTAGCTCTTGATATCAAAGTGATGATGGTGTGCTGGGTTTGTAACCTATGATTTGTTTCTGTTAGAAGTGGAGGCTTTTCATGGGGTGATTTTAGCAAAATGTAAGGTATAGAAAGAGGTATTTCATCCTAATGACGATGAAAAAGAAAAGAAAAGGGTTTCTTTGTTTTTTAAGTGCAAAAAGTTCCCAAGTTCTGAGGTGGAAGATCTTGTGGCTTTTCTCATCAATGGTGAAAATGATGGTCTTTGGAGTGGCTAACTCAAACCAGTGGGCGTTGCTCCTAAGAAGGCTGTGGATGTTGATGTGCAGAAGATTGATGATAGAGTTTATAGTGTCAGCAACAATTTAGAAGTCAAGAATAATGATTTTGAAAGAGATCATGAAGGATCAGTGGCAATAGTAATTGTTGGAAAGCTTGGTAAGGATTTGGGTAGGCAGCAGGATACACTTGTTAGAGATGAAGAAACTGGGGGTCCCTTGTATGTGAAGAAACTTGAAGGTTCACATAATGGTAATCTAGTGCATGTGACCAAAGTGTTTTCATGTTTGAAGGAGGGGGTAATTGGTGCAGGTCCTTGCAACAGATTCAAAAGGATCTATATAAGAGATCAGGAGTGGGAGTTGAAGTGAGAAATAAAAAGGATTGTGGAAAACAAAGGATTTTTGGTAAAGGAAATCCTTGGTGGGCAAGTGGGTGGGGAAATTCAAGAGAACCAGGTGGTGGAAGATGAAATCAAGTTAGAAGGCTCAGAGGTTCAAGAGGAGGTATTAGTTTTGGTTGATAAAATTGAGCCTGTTTCCACCTTCCTATCCCATTCTAACTTGATTTCTGCTTTGGATTGGAACTTGGGTTTTAGAAGGGCATTTAGAGATTCGGAATTGAACAATGTTTCTGATTTACTTAAAATCCTTGATGAGGTGGTTCTGGATCCTTCTAGGAGGGATAGTAGGATTTGGACCCCTTCCCCCTCAGGTGTCTTTTCTTGTTCTTCCTTCTTTAGAGAGTTAGTTCTTCCCTCAACTAATAATGGGCAACCTTTCCCAGTTTTGGAAGTTTGGGGTAAGCTAAATCCTCCCAGAATAGGTGCTTTTTGTTGGGAAGCTTTCTTAGAAAAGTGTAACACTGGCGATTTACTCTAAAAGAAAAGGCCTAATTGGTGTTTGTCCCCACACTGGTGCATCCTTTGTAAGGATAATGGTTAGAGTTGCTATCACTTATTAATCTCCTGCTCTTTTGTCTCTGAGATCTGGAGTTGGTTTCTCTCTATTTGATTGCAGGTGGACCCCCCACTAAATGTGCAGAACTTGTTTAATCCCATTTCTGTTAGTGGGTCAAAGAGGAGAGGCAAAATACTTTAGGGATGTGTTAGAGCAACTATCTGTTGGACTGTTTGGGAGGAAAGAAACCAAAGAATTTTCTGAGAAAGAAAGGAGGTCATCATAGAAACCACAACTGTTAGGGTGGTTCAGTGGGTCAAGACTATGAAGCTCTTTGAGGGGTTTACAGCAGGAGATATTATTAAGAATTGGAAAGATGAGGCACATTCAACTCCTCTTAAAGGTGTTACTAATCCAGTTTGGCCCCCTCCGGCTGGTGGGTTCACCAAATTGAATTTTGGTGGTAGAAGTGGAGGAAACCCAGGGCCATCAGGTATTGGAGGAGTTTTCAGGGATGAGGGTCATTGCCTTGTTTTCAGGCCCCATTGGAATTGGGGATTCCCTAAGAGCTGAAATCTTGGCAGTTTTGGAAGGGGGTAAAGAGAGCAAGGGATTTGAATATAAAATATCTGATGGTGGAGGGTGATTCACAGTTGGTTATTGGCTGGTTGCAGAAGGAAGAGATGGGATTTTGGAAATTTTTAAATGAAAAAAAAGAAATTTAAACAGCTGACTCGGGGCATGGGAATAAGTTTCAATGGATTAAGAGAAGTGCGAACTCCTTTGCTGACTCCCTTGCCAAACAAGGAGTGGGAAGAGATAGTCTTGTGTAACATGAATATCATTCTCAGGGAGGGTTAAGAGATTTCACCCCTCCGTCCTTTCTATTGTACTTTATGCTATCATTAATAAAATTCTGTTAATTATCCAAAAAAAAAGTTTTGGTTGATCAAGCAAGGCTGGCTGAGAGAAGGGTTGTTGATTTGGAAAAAGTTGTCTACGTTGAGATTCAAGTTTGTATATGGTTTATTTATTAATTTTTGGTAGGGGAGCAGTTTGCAAGAAGAACTTCTAGTGAGTTCAAGGCGAGAAGAAAAGAGAAATCTTATAAGGAAGTGGGGAGGAGGGGGAATTTGAAGAAGTGGTGATTGGTGGAGGTGTTGTTTTGGGGCTGATGGGTGTGGTTTAGGGGGTTTTCTGGTTTTTAGAGTGTAAGCTTACTGTGGGTTTTGAAGGCTTGGTTTGGGCCTGGGGGAGTTATCAGTTGCTGTTTTTGTTATTTTGTGAGGGTTTATGTTCTTGGTCCTCTCATGGGGGTTGTTTTTTTTTGATCTGTTATTCTCTGGGTGATATCTTATCACTTTGTAATGTTTTTCTTTTCATATAAATTTTCTTTTCGATTTAAAAAATATATATCAAATATTACTTTGAGTAGATATTGTCTATCAGAAAGTCTCCAAACACTAATGAAAACCCCCATATGGCCCTTGAGTACTATAAATGTCGTTCAAGGAACCCTTGCCATTCCTTATGGGGGGAACCTTTAGCTTCTCTTGGAAGAAACTTCAACTTGTCCCACAATAAATTCCATGCACAGATTTTAGCTTACTTTGCATATAAAAATGCCAAAAAGAAAAAGAAAACAGTGGAATTTGATGTGCAAATAAGCAAACCCCCTTCAAAACTATCCTCCTAACTTAAAGAGTATTGGATAAACACATTAACTTGTCATTGCCAAAAAAAATGATAATACCGAAATAACATGCTTTTAAAGCTATCCTCCTATCTTAAGCACATTGATGCTCCCCCAATTTGTCTGTTGTGCATCTCTGAGTGATGATTATTCCAAAGGCATTTTTGTGCTTGTAATTGTGTCAATAGTCATCAGCTTGGCATAATAAGGTGCCCTTCAACCTTAGTTTTCAAAAGGAATGAAAATCTAATCTTTATGAAAATACTCATTTGTCACATTTTTGAAACTATGGGGCCAATGTACCATTGCTGAACATGGTGTTTATTTTGATGAGCAACAGGATCAACATAAATTTCTTAAGAGAAATAAGAGAGGCAAGGGAAGTACAAGTGTATAGAAGTAATAAACACAAAAAAGTAAACTCCATGCCTGTCATACTACAGCTTCCCCCTTTTTTTGAGTTTTCTTTTTTTCTTCTTTTTTCTTCTCATGAATATGTTGATTTTCTATACTTTAAAATGAAGTTTATACTTTTAAAAATTATGGATAATTATTAAGGAAATATGGTTGTGGAACCTAAGGAACTACCCTAGGATATATGTTTTTACTTAAAAAATATCCATCGACTAGGTTCCTGGCGCCTTGTCGCCTAGCCTCGCCTTGGTGTCTTGAAAACTATGTTCTCATGCACTCTTCTTCTCTTATCCTCATTGTTTTTTCTTTTTTTTTTGGGCACATATTTCATTTCACCTGGTTTGAAGGAGTTGCAGCATTTGATTTCTTGGAACTAGTGTTTGAACATTGTATATTAGGGACAGAAATTCCCTCTAAGAACTGGAGTTTTTAGAAAATTTCTAATAGTGGGGGAATTTACTGTCTCAAGACAACGACTTAGTTGATTGGTGTAATGGTAAAATCTCAGGCGGACAAGTATGAGAATTCAAGTTTGAGTCTGAGAGCAGCCACTTTGTGCAAAAATGCCAAAGGTTAGGTCTGTATCCAGTCTACCTGTTCAAGATGCTAGATAGATAGAACATTGGGTGATGGCCTTTTTTATAGCTTGATTTAAGTTATTCTCCAACACTATCACACTATCACTGTATGTATGTCTTTTCAAAACCTTTTTTTTTTGCCCAGTGCTCTGCCTTGGGCACTCTGAGATAAGATCTATAATGATATTGACCTGTTCTTTGTTAAAAATTTTAGCATTCTTGTCATTCCATATACCAAGAGGGTAACTTCTACTTTTAAATCTCCACACGATCTTGACTCTTTATGGTTCTAAGAGGGAGCACTGTATTTTCAGACATGCCCATTTCAGCTGGGCATATTTGTGGCCCTTAACTGGTTGCTGTGGCAATGATTTTCCCTATTGGCATCACCCACAGATTTTGTTTTCTTTTTTTTTTTTTTTTAGTGTGGAATTGTGTGGGTTAGCAAATGACACTTTAGTTCTTTAGATGGGTGCTATGCACACTAGTTCTGATAGTGGATTCTGTGCACCTGTTTATCTTTGGTTTCCTTCCGGAATCAAAAGAACGCTGCAGTTGTTTAAATAGGTTATACTAATAATATGACTAATATGGTATGTTTATGTAGATGGTGATGGCTGTCTTTGCGTATATCTATCACCAGTCATTTGTTGTACCTCAGAACTTTTCGGTTGAGATGATATTGGATCAGGTGAGGTGATAGTTTTTGAGGGATGTAAGTTTTCATCTATGCACACACACACGTGTGCATGTATCAGAAATGAATAGAAAGATAACATATGATGGGATTGAGTTGTTGATGCTATGCAGATGTTGAGGAACCTTTCTGTTGAGGAGCAACTGGCTCTGTACATGAAGCTTGGGCAGATCTTTCAGGAGAGGCAATTTGGTGAAATTTGAAGCACCCTATCCAGCTATTCTCATGTAACTATAATCTTTTGCCTCCTCATTGGGCATGCTGCATAAATGGTGTTGTGTTTTTTCACGTGCAATTCCATCCATATAAATATTTGACAACCAGGGCCTTTGTTGGTGTGGTGGCTGTATAGTTTATTCAATATTGAAGCAGGTTTTTTATTTTCTTTTGGTAGGGTGTATTTGGTACCCTTTTTACCTCTACTTTCTTGATGGTGTAGTTTTTTTTTTTCTTTTAAGTTTTCTTGTTTAAAGATGGCCTAGCTTCCTGTATGGGGAAGTCAATAGGATATGTTTAGTGTCCCCCTACAAAACAGTGTCATGGGGAGATATTCCCAATGCAAGGCCATAAAGGCTGTTCGAACGGGCCTAGCACTGACTGAAGCCGCGCTCACAATTTACTACCTAACGGTGTTGTGCCTTGGATATTTCTCTCTTCTGGATGTTGGCAAAAAACTAAATGACTATTGGTGTGATACGGCTGATTTATTAGGTCTTCTGCATAAATCTAATGGGTTAATCCAGTGGACAGTCCTTGTACTATTTTATGGCTTATATTGGGCAGGTTGGTCATAATATTGATACCGCTTTGAATGCATCGCAGGCTGCATCTCTATGTTTTCTAGTTTCACTTTTCTGTTAACACATTGATACGTGGTTCAGGTTGAGAGGATTCCCAGTTCCCAAAATTTAGCTGGCCCACTCGTTCAATTTAATGAGTAACTTTATCTGATTGGGCCAGGAGAAAAAGTAAGGACAGCTGCTTTAAAAAAAAAAGCTTGGATTGGATTGGATTCCTGTGGTTGCTAATAGTGGTGTTCTCACTGGGATCTTACGGTGATTAAAGACTACTACCTACCTTCATACCCAATTACCGAAGAATTCTTCCAATCAAACAGGGTTGCCTTTCCTTTGTCATTGTTGGGGGATGCAAATTAGCGTAACCATTTTGAAATTTTCATCCTCTTCAAGCTTCAAAGAATCAAAGGGAAGCCTTCAATCTCGGTAATTACGTAATTAGCCTTCCCAACCCATCGAAGGTAATAATTATTCTTAAGGACTATGAAGGCCTGGCTGTTGCAAGGCCGTAGTTCCTGCCAAGTTAATTGAATGCAGTCATAAATGTTCAAGCTCTTTAATTTTCCTTATTTTTCTACTTCTTTGTTTCTCTTATTTTTTAATTTTTTAATGGATACAACGTTATAGTATTGTAATTGTAGACTCAGACGGTCAGACCTATATAATTGGGCCAGTCCGGTTTGAGTTTGTTGGGTCTGCCAGCCCCATTTACAGCCCTAATACTAAAAGAAGTGATATTTAAAAGGGTAAAAATGTCAAGGGGACAGAATAATAGTAACATTAAAGTGGATCGGTAAAAATATAAATAATAAAAGCATTGGGCAATTGATTATCAGGTTTAACTATGATATTGGAAAGACGTGATACGGCAACAACTTATAACCAATCAACCGGTATAATAAATGTAGTAACCGATCAAGTGTCGTTCATGAAAATTTGGGGGGGGGGGGATTGCCCTTAATTATCTAATACTACTGTGCTTTGACCAATTAGACCCATGATTGAGAAATAACCATCTGATTGGTTACCGCTTTAATGATACTGGTTAATTGGCAACAAGTCTATACTTTGCAGTTTGCATCCATGTATGTGTGAGTACAAAGTCACCATTAATATGAGGAAACATATTGAATCGCGTGGTTGAGGGTAGGTTTGGCACTTTGGTGCATTATTTCTGAGTATGCCCATGGTTTTAGCAATGTCTCTTATAAATCTACTTATCCAACCATAGGACCTTTCATACAGTTACAGCCGCTTCAAAATTCATATGTGATTTTAACCAATCAAACCCATGATATCTAATGAACTTTGACCAATCAAACCCATGGTGGAATTTAGAATAACTTTTCATTGGAGGTCGCTGGATTATATGGTGACCGTGGTTGCTGCATATGCGTTCTCGAAATTGCCCCCTATACAAGTTATCTAAAGAGACTCTAGATCTCCTGCCTGCCCACAAGAATCTTACCCACGTCTACCCACAACACATTACCTCGTGAACATTTCTCCGTGCATAATACTATATAGGAGGATGAAATATTCTCCATGTGTGGCTGCTGTTTTATGTTGGTAGAGTTCTTGTGGGCAGGAGATCCGGACTCGTGTAAAGAGAGTTGTAAATGAATGAGAAATTAGTGAGTGTGGACTGGTTCCACACTACATTTTATGGCAATGACGCATCTACACCGTACTATTGTTTACAGCTGTTCTGAATTGTGGATCAAGTTATGTCGATAGAAACTATTTACACCCATAAGAGCGTTATATAGGTGTAATATGGATTGGTCCGCACTACACCTATTGATTTCATACATCTCATGTACAACTTGTGGGATAACTTACACAATTGATCATGTTGGGGTGATCCGAATCAGATCTGAATTTCAATCGGACCCGATCCAATCCAAAAACATAACGAATGTTTCTCAGAATATGACAAAAATAGGATCAGATCATGATTCGATCCATTTGCACCTCGTACGGTCATGAATGAAAAAGAACCATAATTTAAGCCAAAAAATAACTTGAAATAATAAGATAAAAATAATAACGGATAAAAGAAAATACCAATGCATAATCATTAATAGATATAAAATAAATATATTTGTTAAATAAAATGAGAGTAGTTGGACCAATGTAACGCATGTGCGTTACATCGAATCTTTCCCACAAATTGCCCATAACATAATGGCATAATGTGACCAATCCACGAGAAAATAATATGGATGATAAATTAGGGTGTGGCCTTTCTCTATCATATTTTGTGGACCAAAACAGTCTTGTCCATGATATTTTCACACTACCAAACGCCCTCTAAATTTACATCCGCATCCAATTACTATGTTAAATTTTGGATCAGATTCAGATTTAATCCTAATCATCTTATTATGTTTAAAATGATTAAATTCATTAGAAAATTTAGAGAAAACTTAATTAATTTTAACTTATATATGTTTGGTAAATGTATATAATATAAATATTAAATTTAATAATTGTAAATTTTATTAAATTATACATAATATTTATTTATACATAATTATATTATGTATAATAATAATTTTTATCGGGCTTTGATTTTAATTGAATCGAATTGGATCGGATCGGATATAAATTCTAACATCCAAATCACGACGATCAGATTCCTAATGAAATCGGATAGCGGACGTTAGAAATTCATTAACAGCTCTATTTGTACGGAGAGCCTAAAGTCAGAGAGTTTTCAAACCTCATCCACTGTGAAATGGACCCTTCATTTGGAAGTTGGAGGCGTTTTAAGACATTGTGGATGAAATCACAGAAATTATTGTTCTACGAACAGACCTAAAGGTTTTACCGAAAAAAACAAAATATACAGACCTAATCCCATAAAACCTCTTCGAAAAGAAAAGGAAAAAAATAAAAAAAAAAGAAGAAAAAATAAGAGGAAGAAAGAGAATACTGACGAGTTCGGCCAACTGAAAGTACGGAAGCGTGGGTACAGAAGGGGAACCCTTTTATTTTCGGTTTTAGGTACTGCCGATAACGACAACGTCTGGCACAAATCTAAGTTCTAAACCGCTCTAAAATACACAATCGCGTTCGAGCAATCGATTCGTTGTCTAGCCCAGCATTTCCGACTAACCTAAATCCTAAAAAATCTATTCACCTCCACTGAATTCTCTCTTTCTTTCTTTTTGATGAAACACTGAACTCTTTCACTCCCTTTCTATTGTCTTTGTCCAAGCCATAAATTCGGTGATCGTCTGAATTTCGTTATTTCGATCTGTGAGGCTGTTTTATCTGGGTCTGATTTGCTCGTCGTATTTGATCATGAGGAAGAGGGAGAGAGAGAACCCCTGCGCGGTCTGTGGGCATTATCACAAGTACGAAGAAGGGGAAGTTTGTGGGGTTTGTGGTCATCGTATTCCCGCTTCATCTGAAAAAGTGGGCATTCAAACAAGTGCTTTTCCATCGGAGATCTTGCCGGAGTTCCTTTATTTGGGCAGCTACGATAACGCGTCTCGAGCCGAGCTTTTAAAGACTCAGGGGATCTCTCGTGTCCTCAACGTAAGCTCTCTCTCTGTCTCTCTCGTTCTCTTCACATTTGATTTCGAGTACTTGCACATGTAATGGATTCTGTGTTGTTTCATGCTCTAAGTGTTTGCGTTTCTTACCATTACTTGGAGTTTGTTCTGGACAGAGTTAGTAATTTCTTGAACTATATATCGTAAGCAGCCTAGCAAATTTCGCACACATATAATTATAATTTTGTATACCGTGAATTTTTTGGGGCTTGCAGCTTCATTGAATCATTGAATGAGGGAATGAGGGAAAGAGTCACTTGAATGGCGGCCACATTTCCTTCAATCATGTTTTACATATTACTGGATTGTGACTCAAATATGATTCTGTTCCAGAATCACCTCAAAAAGAGCGAGGTTGATATATCCCACCCTAAAAGGCTGTTCTGGGCGTTGAAGTCATATTTTGAGGGGCTTCGTAATTGGGGTACTGTAATTGGAAATTTGGTCTAAATAGTTTGTTAGTAGCACTAACTACAAAAAAAGGAAACATGATTTTGGATTTGAAGGGCATTGTAAAATATTTTGAAGGTATCTCAGGTTGGGGGTTGGTGGGGGTTAATATGGTAAAAGAAGTAGGAAGCTTTATGAGATTGAAACAAACAGCAATGGGGGCTGGATCTTACTAGCCCTACTCTTTTAACTTGCCTTATTTTAATATCTAATGAAAATCCTGTTTACTGATCCAAAAAAAAGTAGGAAGCATTAATGGGATTCTAGAATATGAGGTTGACAACCTGTCTCTCTTGTAGCTCTATTGGTGGCAAAACAAGTATAACTAGTCTTGGGATCCAATTGTTGAGAAATTTAACAAGAAACTTGCAGTGTAGTAAAGGAACTAGGTTTTCCTTGGAGCCAGATTTACCTTAAGCAAATCCACTTGTACATTTTTTTTGTTGTATGGTATGTTCTGCACAAACCAAGAAATGTAATTGGAAATATGTAAGGGAAGGGACAGACAGCCCTAAATATCTGGGGTGGCCTGCACAACCATTTGTAATACATTAACTTTTGTCCATAATTAATAAATTTGGAAGTTACCAATCAATTATTTTTTGTATGGTGTGTTGGTTGTTAGATATCCTTTCGAAAATTGAGGAAAGGTATTATAGTATCATCTTGTGGGAATTTAAGAAGGTCATTTGATTATCTGGGAGGATGTGCATGGATTCAAAAGGGATAGGAGGTTTTGTTTGGAGTACTTTCATGCTTCATGTTAGTCTTGGGTTTCATTGGTTTAAGGATGAACCTTTTCAAATCTTGCTAAAAGGTGTAGGTATTTTCATGTCCAGTCAGTCAAATAACCAAGGTTGTCCAAGAAGCATGTGGGAATATTCTGGTGATCCCCAAACTTTTGTTCAGGAAAAGGCAACTGATTCCTCCCCTTTGCTTCCCCTATGTAGGCTTGTAAATTTGGGTTTGGATACTAACTTGTGTTATGTGTCTTAGCCTGTCCTCTTGGATCCCAGATTGTCCTTAAGCTGCCAGCCCCCTTTGTTGAGAAAGAAATGAGAGGTAGAAATCTTAGATTGTTAACTAAGGAGGAAAGGGGGAGAAGAATTTTGGAATTAACAGAGCAGTTTTTAGAGGATTTGATGAAGAAAGAGTTGGAGAAAGAGAACACTATTGACCATGAGGCTAGTATGGAGTCTTCGGAAGCTAAAATAGGGGAAGGTAAAGCTAGTGAAGAGGCAGGGATGGATGCGGCAATAGTAATGGAGAAGACTCAGTGGCTGAATTCATGGGAAAGCATGGGTGCAAAATAAAGGATCCAAATGAACTGAAAGCTTATGTAAGAAAGAAGAAGGGAGAAGGAAAGGCTAGGGAAAGAAAATTGAGTGAGGCTGAAAGATTAAGATTGGATGTGGAGGGGGATAGGAAGGCTGAAAGATTAAGGCTGAATTATCTAAGAAAGAAGAAGGGAGTTAGAAAGGCTAGGAAAAGAAAATTGAGTGAGGCTGAAAGATTAAGACTGATCTCTTTATCACCTTCGTTTTGTATTCTCTTTTTCTTTTAATGAATTTCTCTTTGTCTTTCAAAAAAAAGGGAGTTCAATGAGAGGAAGGGAAAGCAAATAGGAGTGTGGAAGCCAAGGGGGAGAAAGAAGGTACTGGTTAGAGATGAAGATTGTAAATTGGAATGTTTGAGGTTTAGGGAGTGTGAGAAAGAGAGCTGTAATAAATGAGTTTTTATGGAAAGAAAACCTAGTCAAATTTTACTTGGTTCAACCCTAGACCAACCAATCCATAATGTTCCAAACTTGATAGATTTTTATTTACGGTGTGGGCTGGGAGGATCATTGGGGAGATTTGGTCTTGAGGGCCTTGTCTAGAATAACTTCTGATCGTTGGCAAACTTCCTTGTCTAACGATGATTTAAGGGGCAGGGGTCCAGCTCCGTTTAGGTTTAAGAACATGTGGTTATGTCACCCGGGGTTTATATAGAAAGTTAAGGAGTGGTGGCAAGAGAGTAATCCAAGGGTTAAATGGCATGAAGTTCCAAGCCAAAAGATCTAAAAGCTAAAATAAAAGATTGGAATATCTGGCAATTTGGGAGATTAGAAGAGAGAAAGCAAGAGGTAATCAATCAAGTTGAGGTTTTGGATACTAAAGAAGCTAGGGGTACCTTTTGGGAAAAGAGATTAAGAGGAGAGGTGGGCATTAAGGAAGCAGCTGGAAGACATTCTATTCAAAGAAGAGATAAGTTGGGGACAAAAGTCTAGGCACAAATGGGTAAAAGAAGGGGATATGAACATGAAATTCTTTCATTCTCCAGCAAATGGTAGGAGAAGGAAAATTTTTTATTTCTAAGAGCGGGAAGATGTAACAATTACCTAACAAAATGAGATTGTGGAGCTTTTGTGGAATGTTTCAGATCTATTTTTAGAAGAACCTCGCAAGAAAGAGTAAGGTTAGAAGGGTTGGATTGGCCAAGGTTATCGGTAGACCACAAAGAATGGTTAAAAAGGAGCTTTGATTTGGAGGGAATAAAGGAAGCGGTTTTTTCGATGGACAGAGCTAAAGCACTAGGTCTGGATGAGTATACAATGACTTTCTATCAAGACTTTTGCGACATCCTAAAAGATGATATCCTAAGGGTGTTTAATGAATTTTTTGGGAGAGGAGTGATAAATCTAAGGCCAAATTCCACTTTCATTGCTTTGGTCCCTAAAAATTGGATCCAAGCCACCCAAGAGAGTTTAGACCCATCAGCTTGGTTAACAACCTGTACAAAATAATTACTAAGGTGCTTTCTCAAAGGATCAGATTTGTGCTTCCTTCCATTATCTCCCCAAATCAAGGGGCGTTTGTTAAGAATAGGCAAATTATTGATCAGATTTTAATTGCTAATATGGAGGAGTTGAAAAGAATTAGTAAAAAGGGCATAGTTTGTAAGCTTGATTTGGAGAAGGCCTATGACTTGGTGGATTGGTCTTCCTTAGTAGAAGTGATGAGAAACTACAGGTTTGGAGAAATTGGTCTAAAGTGGATTCAAGGGTGCATTAGAACATGCCACTATTCAATTTTGGTGAATGGGGCTGTAGTGGTTCATTTTCCAACAATCAGAGGAATTAGATAGGGAGACTCCCTTTCTCTCTCTCTCTCTCTCTCCCTCCCTTTTTGTTTACCTTAGTTGCTAATGTCTTAGGGAAGTTAATCTATAGGGAAGATTCAAGAGAGTTGGTGAGTGGGAAGAGATAGAGTGCCTATTACCCATTTGCAATTTGCTAATGATACAATCTTATTTTGTGAGAGAGATGACCTTAGATGGGTTAGAAATTTGAAGTTGGTGGTTTAACTCTTTGAGCAAATGTCAAATTTAAAAATTGATTTTAATAAGAGTTGCACAGTGGGGGTTAATATGGGCGAGAGGGAGCTGTTAGACTGTGCAACTATTTTGGGTTGTGAAGTATCTCAATGGCCAATGAATTATTTGGATTTGGGTCTGTCTTTGGGAGATAACCTGAGGAACACAAGTTTCTGGAATCTTGTGATTGATAGATTTACAAAGAGATTAGCTTCTTGGAAGAGGAATTATCTTTCTTTGGGTGGCGGGATTACAATGATAAAATCGACTTTAGCCACTTTGCCTATTTATTTCTTATCGGTGTTCAAGATCCCAATGGGGGTATGCAAAAGTCTGGAGAAACTAATGAGAGATTTTTTGTGGGAACCAGAGGAGGAAAGAAGAGACCATAGGGTTAATCGAGAAGTTTTAAGTAGAGCAAGAGTTGTGGTGGGTTAGGAACTGGAAAATATTCAAAAGAGGAATATGGCATTACTAGGGAAGTGGCTGTGGTGATTGCTAGTAGATAAGGATAAATTGTGGGGTAAGGTGATTTTAAGCATTCATGGGCTGGTGGCTGAGCGTTGGGATGCGGGAGTGTTGGCTCGAGCTACTAGTGCTTCTCCTTGGAAATCTATACATGTGGGTAGTCTCTATAAGATTTTAGCAAAGGTCTTGGCTAAAAGATTTTAAAAAGTTTTGCCTCTGGTTATCTCTCAATTCCAAGGAGCTTTTGTGGAAGGGAGACAGATCATTGACCAAATCCTGGTGGCAAATGAGTGCGTAGCAGAGAAAAGGAGAAAGAAAGAAAAAGGCCTAATTTTTAAGCTAGATTTAGAGAAGGCTTATGATCTTGTGGATTGGTCTTTCATCCTTGAAATTTTAAAGAAGATTGGGATTGGAGAGAGGTGGAGGAAATGGATTGGTGATTGCTTAAGCTCAGTGCATTGTTCAATTTTAATAAATGGAGTAGCCAGAGATTTCTTTCCTGCCAAATGAGGTTTGAGACAAGGTGACCCTTTATCCCCTTTCCTCTTTACTCTAGTAGCAGATGTTTTAAGCACTATGATCATTAAGGCTGACCAGGAGAGGGTTCTTAGAGGATGGAGTGTCGGTAGGATTGAGATAACAGTCACTCACTTGCAGTTTGTTGATGACACAATCGGGTTCTATGAAGAAGGCAATCTTAGGGACTTGAGG